GGGTGGCAGGAGAGGTCTGCGCGCCATGTGGGACCCTCACCTGGTGTCCGGGGATCGAACCGGCGCTGCAGAGGCTGCGGGCAGCTTCGCAGCCCAGCGCTCAACCGCTGAGCCACCGGGGAGGCCCTGTGTGGGAGTTTTGAGAAACAATATTCATATATTCTCTAGCCAACTAGGAAATGTATAGAATTTAAATTTGAGTAGTGTTAAAAAAAAGATAAGAAATAAAACTAGGTAAATTGGAGTTATTTTGAATGCCGAAAGTAAATTACAAAATGGAATGTAGAGGGTAAAAGTTATTTGTGAAAGAACAGATTATGAAAACAAAGTTTATGCCTCAAACTCTACAGTTATAATAAGGATTAGGAAATGAAGAAAAGTAAGAGTAAGTTTACTTCATTTTATATAGGGAAATATTAGGATAAAGAAAATTTGTTTCCTTTTTCCTAATTTTAAATGACTTTTCATTTGTTACTTATTAGAGGACTTTACTGCTAACAAGTAAAGCAGTTAAATAAATTATAACTTAAAGGGATGTGAGATGATTTAATATATGAACACAAACAAAAGGAAAGCTGAGCTTGCAATATTAATTTCAGACAAAATAGATTCAAGGCAATGATTATTAAACATGACAAAGAAAGTCACTTTTAATAAAGAATAGAATCCACAATAAAGACACAGAGGTTATCAAAGCATGTGCAGTGAACACAGAATGAAAGTAAGGCAAATATTGATAGAAGCCCAAGGAAAAATGGACAAACAATAGTTGTAGAGTATTTTATATACTATTAAATATATATACAATTATATATTTAGATAAAACAAGGGGACAGAAATTAGAGATATGAAGATATTGAGCAAATGGATAAAAATGTAGATCAAGAACATGGATATTTTGTTAAATATGAAATTTGATCACTGGCTAAACCACAAAAAATTTCCTAAATATAGAAATTGTATAGTGGATTTTTTTTCTAGACACCATTGGGAAAGTTTAATAATAAATCAGTAATTCTCTACTCATCCTCTTTATACTCACAATTCCCTTTAGCCCTCCCTCTACTTTCTAATTATTGTATCATTATTTTGCTTCTATTATCTTCATAATTTTACATGTAAGTTAATCATTTTTCTAGCAGCCTTAGTAAAATCCTTAGTTAATAAGAATAGTTATTTAGTATATAGACTCTTGTTAAATGCCAGTTATGTTTTAAAATACCATGATACAGCTGATTATTAAACAAAATTTTACTATGTCTATTGCTTTGAAACCTCCCTACAGAAAGTAGATTTTCTACCAGACATCACTAGTGACAACAATTAAGGTTAAAATAAGAACTCTTTCAGATTTTATTTCATATTTTTATTTAAGAAGAAAAAAAATAGCAGAACACTTCTCTGTTCCTTAAATAGAGAATTAGGGAAGATAAATGTATTTTTAAAAATTCAGTGAAAGAAAGGAAAATGGCGCTAGACATATTACAAGGGAGAAAATGTTCCAAAGAAAAGGGACACAAACTACCTTATACCATCCTACCCTCTAAGAAGGCATAATAAATACAAAAAAAAAATTTCAAGAGGAAATGACACACAGACTAAAACAAAAATATATGTAAACATGAGGATTTGACAGTGACTTTTTAAAGTTTACTTTATCTGTGGGAAAGCAAGAAGTTGTTCCATAATTTAGGTCATTTGAAAACACCCAATCACAAAATTTAAGAATAGCTAGAAAATGTTTTTGAAAGCATACAAATTAATCTAGCAGAAACAAAACAATTATAATGATTAAAATTCTTACATCTACCCTGATCTAATATTTTCAGTTTACTTATAAGAAATATTGAAAGGCCATATCATTTATATTAATTTCTCTCTAAGAAGAAAAGCAAAGTCAACCCTAAGTAATCATGGATATATTACATAATAATTTTCTGTGGTATTCTAACAGGAATTCACACAAATCCAGGGAAACTAATACTTTGTAATAGTTTAATATAATTAAGCTATCTACTGTCCTTTTGAGATTTAGTGTCAAGCTCCCGGAATACCTATTTACTGACTTCGATGCTACAACAATTTTCTGTGGATCCTTAGGTCCAAAGATAAATCCTTCTTATGAGTTGGAGTAAACTTGAGACAAAGCTCAAATTCTAGCAATGAAACCAAAAAATTTGGGATTTTTTTCTTTTACATAAAGCCCTTAATACACAAAACTGATTCTTACTAACCTACAGTTCCAAAGCATGTATTATTTCTATTGCTCTTGTATATAAATTAGCAAATTAATCAGTTGGAAAAGTATACTCTTTTATAGTACTTAGAAAGTATCATTTAGTTTACCTCTGTAGTGTTTATTGCCATACCAGTATTTGTTAGTGATCAAAGGGTGTACTTAAATGTGCTCTAAGTTTGAGTCCACATAGTAATAAATGGGGAAATTATCCCTTGCCAATAAAATCCCAGAAAAATGGATAGAATATTTAGTTCCAAAATGTGGTTTCCAAAGTGCTGTTTGGGCTGAAATGATCTGGACTATTGCTGTGTGTTGGGTAAACAAACTAATTATTAGTATTCAGTTCACTTTACTTCCTCAGGCAAAGGCTAGAAATTACTATCACATGTTAAAACTGAATCATCAAGCTGGCTATAAAACTCAGCTTTTAAGAGATCTCCATTCTCATGCCCAAGGTATGGTCATCAGGAGAGAAAAATTCCCACAAAATTCTTGTGCCTCTGAGAGGGAAGAGATGAAGACTAAGAATTTGGTACCTCTTGAAATGTAGGAAAGACAATCTCAACAGAGAAAGGGACAAATTAAAATTAGTTACTAATCATGATAACCCAGATAATTATTTTTTCAACTGATTTATTCATCCTTGACTAGCCTATTTAAAATTATAAACTCTATCACCTTTACTGGGAAGACCCTATTCCCTCTTCCCCACCACCCTGCCCCCAGAATTGTCTTTCGTTCTTCACTGGAATGTTAACTTCACAAACCAAGGATTTGTTTTTACCGTCATGTTATGTTGTCTGCCATTTTTCAGAGCCTAAAATGGTCTTTGACAATATGTATTTTAATTGAATTTGTTAAATAAATTTCAGGTCATAAAAAATGAGAAGGCATTTTAAATTAAGATTTCACTTGCTTAAATTTTAATGTATATCATTGATCTCACTTTTAAATAACAGCTGAAAAACATAGAAAACTTATAATGAACAACTGAAGAAAAGAACTAGCAATACCTTTATGTAATTTAATACTCTCTTTTTTTCCTTTAGGCAGGCAAAGGCATCTCCTATATAAATTTTAGGCAACTAAAATTGAGCAGAATGCAGCATTTTTGAGCCACCCTAAGAAGTTGCAGCAATTATGTTAGGGTTTTGTATACATTTCTATAACAATATATGTCAGTGTGGTTTACAAACTTTTTTTTTGTATATATCTTAATGCAAAACAGGTTTCTATTCTGCAATTAGAAGAACAGTAACAATCTATGTCTAGCTTTTAGTAGTAAGAGCAACTTCCACATGAGAATAATAGACTATCAAAGAACGTAGATCAAATCTTTCTTCCTAAACGGACTGTAATTATATTTAAACTACAGGAAAACAAATGTTTGCTGGTAGATTTCCCTTACTTTGGCATCATGTAAAATTTTACGCAAGCTAAAATTAAAACAGCAATTTGCCTTCCATTTTTTAAAAACATGAATGTTGATAAAGTAAAACAGAACAATGTCTGGCAAATGGTTGTTATCAAGTAATGTATACTAAATGAAATTGCATATTTTTCCTTAAATATAATAGATTGAGGCTTCATCTTAATATCTAAGATATTATTTGTCCTTTCATACTGACATTATCAAATGTTTAGCTTTTGTTGTCTGTATGTGAACAGCATTTTAGGTAATCACATCTACATTTCCTCAGAAATTAGTAAAATAATTTGCCTTCATTATTAATACAGAATACATGGTTTGGTGTTTTTCAATTTATGTACAAATATACTGAGATACTATATCTTTTAATGGAATATTAATGCACTAATGAATATACTGACCTATTAGATGAGGACAGTATAACATATATACATTAGACCCAGAAATGATCAAGTTCATTTTATAGCTGAACTGTCAGATTGTTGCTAATCTGTCTGCAGCATATTCTGGTCCCTTTTTTACTATTCTTAGTGTCCATAATATAACTATGCAGGTTGAAGAATGAAATCCATGGTTGTAGGACAGATGTATTACTGTTTCTATATAAGAACTAAATCTAAAGCTTGGATTGATTAAAAGAGGCTAACTCAAACTTTTTCATACTCCGATATCATAAAGCCATAGGATTCCATTAAAAATGTGAGTGAACTAGACTTAGAATTTTTCAGTCTGACATTTTTCATAAATGTATTTATTTTATATATTGATACTAACTACAAATCTAGTTACTTTCTCTTATTCAGTCTAATTTTTTCTCCTACGCTTTTTGTTGTTGCAATTATATTTTGGCTAACAATTGTGTATCAGAAGGTGAATTATGTAACTGTTGGTACCTCTAGGCTGACAATTAATTACACCTGTTTAAGACAAAAGCATAATCTAAAAAAATTTTTTGCAGCTCCTAGAGCCACCATTTATAAACTTACTACCTTCAACTTTATTAGTTGGTGATATTGCCATTTCAGATGCCTAAAAATAAAGCATTTACTTAAATTTTTTCATTTTGTCTATTTGCATTTTATATATCATTCAAACTACCAACTTATTAAAGTTTTATGACAAAATTTAAAGAGACCTGTTTAAGACAAATAATCTAGCCAGTCATATGCTAAAGTAAGTGTTGTATCTTAGTTTACCTCTGGAGTGGGGGAAATTACCAATATTTGTTTCTGGACTTGAAAAGCTTCCCTTCCTACAATTTTTTATCATTAGTCTTTGGTTTTGTGCCTTCTCTATAATGACATAGGTTTGTTTCTCCTTTATTCTTTGCAGAGTGCTGCAGCAGCTCCCAGTCCAGTGCTAGGAAACATTCCCCCAGGAGATGGCATGCCAGTAGGTCCTGTACCACCAGGGTTCTTTCAGGTACTCAGAGAAACTGACTAGGAATGTTAAGGCATAGGAACTCCTGCTTGATTATATTTAAATCTATAAAGGAGAACAGGCAATTTTTATGTTTAAGGTAAACATAACACTGTGCAGCCAACTCTTGATTATTCAGAGACTGGTTATTTGGTGTATAGATTAGCCCTTCCTATGTTTCATTTGTTGTTAAATTTTTATTCAGTTATTTATTTTGTCATTTCATTGTTCAATTAAAAGAGGGAGTTGAAATGCAAATTAGCTAGCCCATTAAGTTAATTGTGGCAAAGATTTGGTGTGGGAGAAGAGGCCTCAAGATGAAATTCTGAAATATGTCGATTTTAACTATCCAAGCTATCCATATCTCCCCTAAGACTAAAGATAATCAGGATTTGGCTGTACTTTCAAAATATAGCTAAATCATAATGTATTCATTTATTATTATTGGCTCTATCAAAACATTTTTGAGAATCTTAGCAGCTTTTAAAGTGGAGTTTTTAAAAATAAATGTTAATATTTTAAAATTTCAACAAGATAATTACTTTAGCAATGTTGATAAGGGTTTTCTAATTCATGGCATCCACATTTCAAATTTGATGGTTTTCTAATCAAAACAGATTCTGAAAGGTTATTTTTTTTTAACTACATAGTTAATTTTATAATACCCTTAAAAAAAATGGGAGAAATTTAGGAGTTAAGAACTAGACATGAAAAGCATTACAGGAATTAATGAAATATGCTATATTGTCAATGAATTACATAGCTACTGATTTGTCACTCCAGTGTTTTGTATTTTCAAATCCTTGATAATTATTTGTTAGTTAATTCATATCATTATTATAGAGATCAATGTACTTATAAATGTGAAAATGGAGAAATAAAATTGTTACAAAGTACAGTACAGCAATCAAATACAAATGTCTCAGTTAGAACCTACTACCAACTCTGAAATATAAAGTCCCTTAGGATATACTTATTTGTTCAGCTATTCTATATCCCCAAGTGATCTGGAATATTCAGTTATCTCCAGCTCATTCTGTCTTAGATGCTTTTTCTCTAAAACATAATTTTTGATTATTAAGATAATAGCTAACATTTAATCACTGTTTACTGTGACAGGCTTTGTTCTAAATGCTTCATATATAAACTCATAATCCCAACAATAACTCTTGATGTGAAGTACATATTATTCCCATTATAGATGGAAAAACCAAGGCCGTCATAGATAAGTGATTTGCACAAAGTTAGAAAGTGACACAATTGACATTCAAATCAAGGCATTCTAGACTTGTCATTGAATTTAGCTTTTCAAGTTGATAGCTGATCATTCATAAAATATTTTTAGGTAATTTTTCTGCTTGTAATATTTTTTCTCTTACCGAATATAAGTTGGAAGTAAGAACAAATTAGGGAATTTATATACTTACGAGTAACAGCTCGTAAGTGGCACTTTTAAAAAGGAGGTGGCTTGGAAAGGAATTCATTCTTTCTAGAGTTCAGTAAAGATGTTTAAACCCACATATTATTTTCACTTTTATAGAGTGAACCATTCTCCCCTTACTTTGTCTTTTGCCTGAGTCTTGTTAAGAGTAGCTAGAACAGTTAAGTTTGTCTTAATTATTCCAATGTGATAAATATTTGATTAGTATTTATCTTCCTGTAGCTCACTGTCCCACCAGTGAGACATCATTAAAAATAAAAAACCATAATATAGCAGGATCCATGCCTGCTATACAAGTCTACTGAATAATCAAGTACTTACCATGGTAACATAAGGCCTTTCTCCTATAGTACATCTTTCCAACTTCATTTCTAGGAACTACTGCCTACTTTCCCTCTGCTTTCTGTCTTACTAGTATGAACACCTCTGCACATGTCACCTGGACTTCAAACAGTGTAAACTTCTGTGATGACCTAGAAGAGAGAGTGGTAAAGTCTGCCTAAATTGGAGATAAGAGTAGTCTAGAAAAGTTTTCCAGGAAAATAAGCAAAGGAATAATCCAGAAAGTGGGAACAGTAACAGTAAAAATGTGGAAGCATCCAGGTGACATGTGCAGAGGTGTTCATACTAAAAAGAGAGAAAGCAGAGGGAAAGTAGGCAGGAGTTCCTGGAAATGAAGTTGGAAAGATGTACTATAGGAGAAAGGCCTTATGTTACCATGGTAAGGACTTGATTATTCAGTAGGCTTGTAGTTGTCAGATATCTTTAAGAATGGAAATGACCAGAATGCAAACTATAGAGTTGATGATACAAAGTATGGAATGGATGGTATAGAATTAATGTTACAATTATATACAAAATACCTGCCATCAAAAAAAAAAAACCTTCCAGTATGTTGAGAGAAAAGGTAATTAAAGTGTAGAAAGAAAATGGCTATATTAAGTTAGAGTGTGCTCCTAGAGAAAATCAGGCCACCAAATCCAATCTTGAGATGAGCACTGTTGGGGTGGGAGTAGGGGGGAACTTTCAAAATAGTCAGTGAAATCCATATTGGCATCTAAAGATGACTTAACAGGCAAATGAGGCAGGGAGAGTGTGAAAGAATATTTCAAGAGGGTGAAAAGTTATAAAGACCTAGTGGGTAAAGGAGAGAAAAAAAATTTTTAATGGAGCTTAATTAGTTAAAGGAGAGGAGCTGATGATGAGGCTCTAGAGGAACCTTGAGGAGGTTTATAGGTTAGTTAAGAGCTTCAGCCTAATTTTAAGGACAGTCATAAGCTATTAAAGGATTTCAAGCATGAGAGAGGCATGTTCATATTTGCAGTTTTAGAAACATCACTTCAGTGACAGTGTCTAACCTGGACCACAGAAGGATACATCTGGAGGCTGTGAGACTTATTTAGGAGGCTCTCATAATAATTCAGGTAAGATTTAATGATGGCCTGAACTAAGGCAGTGGCAGTGGATATGGAATGAGATGAACAGATTTGAGACAAATAAATGGGGGGGGGGTGCAGGGTGTGAGTAAATTAATTCAAGAATAATATCCTGATTTCTGACCCTAGCTTGAGCAGATGGAGTTATCATTTTCTGAGATAGGAACTACAAAATGAAAAATAGGTCCAAGGTGGGACATAAGAGGTTCCTGGGGGACTTTCTGTTATTAGAGATGTCCTTTAGGCTAATGGCCTACAGGTTTGAGCCTGAAAACAGTGATCTAGGGTAGAGATAAATTGCAGGATCATCGTTATATTAAGGGCACTGAAATCCTCAGGATTAGGTGAATTAACTAGGTAGAAAGCACAGGATCAGAAATAAGAGCATATACAACAAAACTCCAAAAACACTGACACTTAAAGGATGGAAAAAAGCAATAAAACTCATTAAAGAGACTGATGCAGAGGTAGCAGTTGGTTGGCTATTATCGTAACTAGGGGGAGACTTTCTAAACCTTTGCAAGAGTAGTGACAGTAGGACAGAAAAAGTGGCTGCTCAGAGTTTTACATTTGATAAGCCTTAGTTGATTAACCAAATTAAGGATAGAAGAGAAAGGGTTGGATGAATCAGAATAATTCCAACTTTGGGTCTCTGAATAATTTTAAAATTGTTTGAGAGTTAAAATGATGTAAAACATATATAAAATTTAAAAAATAGGAAGTGAAAAGTGTTAGCTATGTTTGAGTTTCATATACTTGCCATTTTTCTTTATCCTAGATCATTCCAGCTCATCCCAAATACTATTTCCCACTATTCAACAGGCTTTTAAATATGCCCAGTCTCCCTAGAAATGGCTCTCTGACATACTGAAAAGCTAAAGCTATCAACTCTTTTCAAAAGGAATGGGATATTATTGTCTTTGGGCCCATATGGGATCAGACTACAGGTTATTCCCTACATGTTAGCATGTTCTTACTACAGAGACCAAGTTGCACTTCAGTGTCATTGTGACCATACTGCCTATTGCTAATGAAGAGTAGTTGGTAGGGGAAAAATAGCAATGCCTTCCATTAATTATAATTGTCTCTGCTACCTCTACTCAAGTCCAAATTCCAGTTTCTAATCCAGTTCAAAGAGATACTGTAAAAAATATCAAAATCTAAGACACTGACTCCTAAGATCAGGCACAATCCTGATTATTAGGTGAGGGCAAGACTGGGAAGATTAGTACCAAGTGGAAAGAGCTGAATGTTTCCTTCTGGTGGGAACGTCCAGAAGATTCAATGGGAAAGACTCAGATTCTCCAAAAAGCCAGACCCTCAGATGACAGAGAATCCCTGGTTCAAAACAGATTTAGAAGGGTGCTAAACAGGTTTTCCAGCCTCTCAGTTTGCTTGCAACTACTAAATTATAGAGAGTAGTTACCTCCCCTTGCCTTTGACCTTTAAGCAGAGTATGAGAATAGTTTTGAATTCAATTCTTAGTGGGGAAATGCAAAGCTTATTTGAGGACAGGTGAAATGGGACTAGTCCAGGTAAGAATTGAGTGTGTTCAAACTATGGAACTTTTTTTTTCCCCCCTAAAGATTTATTTATTTATTATTTATACAAGCACTGGGTACAGTCAGAGGCACGGGAGGGTAAGAGAATTCACCAGAGCAGGGAACAGAACAGTCAGACTGCCGAAGTACACTGCTGAGGGGAGTAGTAGGCAGCAGGAGAGGTCTGCGCGCCATGTGGGACCCTCACCCAGCGGCCGGGGATCAAACTGGCGCTGCAGAGACTGCGGGCAGCTCCGCAACCCGGTGCTCAACCGCTGCGCCACCAGGGAGGCCCAAACCTATGAAATTTTTTAATGAATAACTGAAAGTATAGTTTGTTAAAAGCACATAAAGCACAAACTTAAATAGTTCTGAGCTCTACTCATTATGTGATACCATAAAAAGGTACATTAGAAACAGTTCTAAATAGACACCCCTTTCATTCCTATTTATATTGCAAAACAAACCCTTTTTCCATTGTAATTGTAGATTTAATATATCACCAAGAGGAATCATAACAAACTTTTATAACAGCTGCATCTGAAAAATTGCAATTAACTTATACTCTAAAATAAATAATTGATA